AGAAATACGAAAAAGAGTATCAGATATGGAAAGAGTCGACAAAAGTAGAGAATCCTATCGATAGACTCGAGAAGGAAAACAAGAGAGAGAGAGAGAGAGAGAGTCGATATTTACCTAAATCGGCGAAATGTGAATACAATTCGGGTAAAACACTGTCCATCGCTCTCTCCAACTGATAGAACTTAAGCTGCAATTCTTCGAAACCATTGCGGAACAGATTCCTGAGTCCGTATTCATTCATAATCTTAACCAAAACACAAAACGCCTGCTCTTCGGGCATATGGAGGAGAAGCGATGCGATCAAAAACGACAGGCCCTGACAGTAGCCGATCTCCGTGTCGTAGTTGGAATAGGCTTTGCATAACTTGAATAACGAGTCCTGACCTGCGGTCACACATATTATAATTAAATTCAATTACAGTATTAATTAACAATTAAGAGGACAAATAGATATAGTATTCAATTTGAAATACAGATTTCTATCACAAACAACAATCGATGAATAATAATAATAATTTAAATAAATAGAGAATTTCCTATTAAATGATAAAAAACATATCATTTGTTGAGAGCAAAGATCAACAGATAAATAGATATCTTAAACACTCAATAGATATGAAAACACAGACCAAACAAACACCAAAATAAGTGATAAAACGATTTGTCATCGTTTGCTACGAATAAAATAAATAATGAAATCACTGGAAGTGATGACAAACCTAGAGATCCGCTCTCTTTGAAGAACTCGTGTGCGGGAAACGTACGGTTGATATCCCTTTCGATGTACTTCTCGTACGGCGACTCCCGATTAATGAGCGCTCTGTACTGTTCCATGAGAGTCACCTCATCCTGACAGCCGGCCAACAGTTGCCACACCTCTCCCCGCAGGGCCTCAGGTATGCCTCGTTTGACGAGTGTCTGCACCTGTTTTGGCCGAAGTGTCAGATTTTGGTGCCATTTGATCAACAACTCGGACCAGCCTTTCGGATGATAATCACACAAATTATTATACATTTCACACAAAATTTACGATAAAAATCAATGAAAACAATATCTACCGTCGAGTTCTGTTTGGGTACACTCTTTGCTGACAACTCCGGTACCGCTGGGAAGGGGTTCGTCGTTGTCTTCGCTCTCGTCGTTAGACGGCGTCGGCAGAGACGTGACTGAACTGCGGTGAGAGTCGCGGCGGTCGCCCAGCGATGGCTGTTGGCTGCCGTCGTGTCGGAGCCTTAGGGCCAGTTTGTGGCGCTGATGCGAGAGCTGAGTGGCCGAGAAACACGACACCACATCAAAGCGGGAGTTGGGCTCGGAGTTGACCCGTTCCCGGAGCTGCACGTGAAACTGTTCGTGAAATGGTTTGCCCTTCGATAGCGTCGGGATATTGATCCAGAATCGGTCGGCCGCCGACGTGGTCACGATCTTGGCCTTAGCCTCGAACACGAACCGTATCGGCTCCTGAATACCCTGTACGACCAGATCCACGGCTATCGTGAAGTAGACCCGCGTGTCTCGCGGTGTTTCCGAGTTTAACACTTCAAACAACGGTTCCGTGGGATTCCAGGCGCCGATGATCTGCCATTGGGTGACAACTTTGCGATTGTTATCCGTCGGAACCGTGTGTTTGGTCATCGATAAGAGTCCGATGGGTATCATATCCGAGGACTTTATATTACGGCCTTAAATGACAAACAAAAATAATTACAATTAAAATCAATGTTTGAATTCGTAATCTAAGAGTT